CAGGCAGGGGCTGCCGGGTGAGCTGTCGGCCCGAGGCGCTCATGGCTCATTGTGTCGTTTCTAGGCCTGCTGGACCAGGGCTTCAGGAGGACGCCATGAGCGGGAGGTGAGTGACCTGCCCCGATACGGGGTCTCGGCTCGCTGTGACAGCCGCACTTTTGGCAGGGGGGCTTGTAAACGGAGTATTCCCGAGTGTGTACTGTCAAACAGTGATTCGTGTTTCCTGTGGCTGCCCCTTTTTCTGGACAAGTTCTCTGTCTGACGCTGTGCTGTGCCTGCTTTGTTAAACACCTATGGTTGTGTCTCCACTACCTTAAACTGGTTGTAATTGTTCATATGATGTGCCAGGCTTTCCAGTGCCTGGCTTTTGATGCTGAACATTAGTGTGGTTTCAGTTATCACGGTGTTTAAGAGCCTGCAGTGTACAGTACAGGTTTTCCCATACTGTTTTCTTAAGTAAGAGAGGTACTGTGACACCACAATTTTTTAATGGACGTAGGGAGTGTTAATACTGCATGTGCCAGAAAAATGAAAACTGAATTACAGTGTCTTGTTTTGATATGCTTGGGTTTATCTTATGCACATACGGGAGATAAAACTAGATAAGTCAGTTTGACGTTGTAATATTATGGGCCAGTTGGCATATGCAGTTGAGACTAGTTATATTTTCTATGTGATCTATAGAATCAGCCATGTAATTGCTTGAAGTGGGTGGGACAAACAGGTCTTTGTCATGAAAAATTGTTGGGGTGATAGTATAATGTAATTTGTCCATTGGATGTGGACGGAGTGACTGTCCCCAGAGACTGCAGTTAATTCCTTTGAGGCTGCAAAGTTGTGTTACGATGGACAACAGTTAATATCTTCTCCTATAGCAGTTAGTACAGCACAGGAGACTGTCACGTTAGTGTGATGTATTGAAAACAGTAACGTTTACCCATGCCAAAAACAGTTTGCAAATGTTTGAAAATATAACATATGCTAATATTGAAAGGCTTTGCTCTTGGTATGAAGGCTGTAGTAGAAAGAGAAGTTTATAACAAAGAAAGTTATAGAGTTCTTAAATGCTTCAGGCTCCAGGTACTTTTCTCCGTTGACTGGCTGTAAGGGTTTGTAGAAATCTATATAAACGAAACTTTATTTTTTCATCAACTAAACTTCTCCTGGTGTAAAAATAGTTCCTTCTGAAACAGAACATTATTTGTTTTTTGCATCTAATACCTTGGAGTGATTTATCATTTATCAATGTTTTTAGGTTGTGGTCCAAGGCCATTTTTGCTGGCTACAAACGTGGCCTCCGAAACCAGAGGGAGCACACTGCCCTTCTGAAAATTGAGGGGGTTTATGCCCGGCAGGAAACAGAGTTTTACTTGGGCAAAAGATGTGCCTACGTGTACAAAGCTAAAAAGTAAGTAACTTTTCGTTGTTGTGCTAAATTAGAAACTCCTATATCAGCTTTTGCAAAGGCTGGGATGTGATCAGTCACTTCTTGTTGTGACAAAAATAAGTTGAGCTGAGCTTGTCAACAGGCTGTCCGTGGAGTGTTTTGTAGAGTAGTTTCCTTGGTTGGTCTCAGTTTAAAGTTTTTCAGGATGTGTCTGCTTTAAGTGACCTTTGTGTTGTTAATTCAGATCGTGTATTTATATGGGAATAGCTTTGCTCTTAGAAACACTATATTAACAAGTGGGATAACAAATTTTGCTTCTGAGGCTAGCAGAGCTGAAGGCAAGCTGATAATGCAGTATATTGGAGTTAGCTGAATTGGTGTTGATCACTATGACATTTCAATTATTTAAATGGCCGAAGAACATTACATGAAGCCTGGAGTGCAGCCTGAAGGAGTTTGAATCCTGAGCTGCTTTTGCGTGCCTGTGTCAGAGCAATGTCACTTCTGCTATACTGGTGTTGGTGGAGGCCTTAGAGTAGTTGCTTATGCCTTTCTACTTAGTGTGTAATTGTGAGAGCTAGATGCAAGAGTTCAGAGTTGCACTGAATAAAATTGGTCAGGCTATTTGCGTGTTGATCTTCGTTTCCAAGGTGGTTTATGCCTTTTTTTTTTTTTAAAAGCAATTTTCGCAGTCTATCCCGGTGCCTTAGGCCGCTCTTGCCCTTTGGTGTATCTGGAGAAATCTTAGAACATGTTACTTTTTTTTTGTAGTAACAGCTTATGAGTTTTCATGTTGATTATCTTAACATCCAGTGATTTTTTTTTTCATCATCTTAAGGTTATGTCTCATTAGTAGCTCTGCAGTAGAGCTGCTGATAAATTACTAGCCACGATATTCCCTCCATGTGGAGGGCGTAGTGGAAATTACAGCCGTAACAGTTTCCAAGGGCACATGAAAGTGGAAGTTGATCCAATTAAAAATGACTGGAATACAATTATGGAAGTGCCTTAAAGAGGCTGCGTTGTCTGTCCCATCACTGGTCAGTCTTGCGCAGAGTCAAGACTGAGATGCTCAGAATTTTTTTTCGCTGTTTCTTTAGCAACACTGTAACCCCCGGTGGTAAGCCCAACAGGACACGAGTGATTTGGGGGAAGGTAACCCGCGCCCATGGGAACAGTGGCATGGTTCGTGCTAAGTTCCGTTCCAACCTTCCTGCCAAGGCCATTGGACACAGAATCCGAGTGGTAAGTGGATATATTTTAGCAACAAGATGTTTTTTGATAGTGTTTTTGGGATGTGTTTTAATCTCCCAGAGTACGAGGGAGAGCTTGGAATATACATATGACTTCGTTCTGTTACTACTGTGTGTTCAACATGGCCCTGTGGTAAGTGCTCCTTTTGGAGCTAGAAGAGGTTTAGCACTGGCTTCTTGTGTTGAGAGGACTGGTCTCATTGTTGAGGGGTTTGTATGCTTATTCAAGTTGACTGCAAAGGCTTTTTAAGTTCCTAAATTCTTCCTCAACTCCTTTCTAAAGCCATTTTGATTCCTCTTCCCTAAATCTTGTGCGTGTTCTTTTTATATGCTTCCTATTCTCCATTTCCTACCATTGGCAAGGGAGCTATGACATCAGTTTTCCTTTTCTCTTGCAAACACTTTCACTGAGGGCTCCGCAGTCTTGCGGCAGTAGGACCTGTTCCACAATTTGTTTGGTCACAAGGCTTCAGTGAAACTTTCCCTTTTGGGCCATCACCCAGGCTTTTCATGCAGGATCTTGCTAGTGATACTGTCAAGAGGAGCGTCAGAAAGATGCGATCCTTACTTTTCATGTTTTTCCTGTGCCTTACAAAAAGCGTGGTAGGAACAGCATGGTTAAAGCCTGAAAGTAGGCTCATGAGCATCTCCTCCTCTCAGTGAATGGAAGGGCTGGCTGCATGGGGAGGGAGCCTCTCTGCCAGCAAAGTGATACTTCAAGTCTTTGAACCAATTGCTAGGCTTTTTTTTTTATTCTTGCACCTCTTCTGTGAAAATTGGGGCCTGTTTTTGTAGTAGTTGGGGATCCATGATTGTAGAATGCAACTGCAAGATTTGTTTGAAACAGTACAGTGCAGTAACAAGATTTCTAACATGATTCTGTTTGTTTTTTACAGATGCTGTATCCATCTAGGATCTAAATTTTTATTGGAAATAAAATGTGGAATCTGTTTCATTTTTGTACACTTGTGTTTTTATCCCCTCTAACTGTTCTGAAGAATTTTTTTTTTGGGTAGTGTATCAGAATCCACAGCACAGTGATGCAGTAGTGAGTCTGAACTAGGTGTTTAAAATGGAGATTTGATCTATCCTTGGCTAGCTACTCATGGAGCGGACTACATCCTGGAGACAAATAACTAGCAGCCTTTACTGTGACCTGTCTCTGCCTCCCATCATGGAATCTGAGTGATTTACAAAGCCGAACAATAAATGTTTACAACTTTGTAGACTGCACACAAGTAGAAAATAAGAAATATTTCCTTGCCTACCTAGTGGAGGGAAACCTCCTAAATTCCTGTTTCCCTTGTGTTAGGCAAAGACTGCTGTTGAGATAAAAGTGGTATATGTAATAGAGATTTAAATCCTAGCAGGTGTAAATCCTTTTAGCGCTCACCTAAAAATAGTTGTTTTAGTAGGATCACAAAGAATGAGACGGCAGATATCCTGGGCATTGTGCATGTTATTAACATCTGCTCTGTTTAATTTAGTTACATACCTGTCTCAGTTTTTATCACATGCAACTCCATAGTGCACAAGTTTAATACTGGTTTCCTGGCCTGCCTTATCCCAAAACTTAATGGGAGAGGATGGGTAGGGGGTGTCTTTACATGTAAGACTGTATTACTTTCATGAGTCATTTAATATTTGTTGAACAAGGAGGTGGTGAGAAATGGATTTAAGATTCTTAAAATGCAAGTCTTGGGGAGAGTTTGAGTACATCCCTCAAATGCTAGGTGATTTTAAGGGTTGTTTCAGACAGCTGCAGGTTGACGGTTACTGATGTCATAGTCTTGCCCTCTTCCCAAAATGACCCATCAATACACTAGGTGGGCGGGTGATGTGCCTTGTATGATGCAATTTCAGGGCCATTAGGAAAACGTCCCTAGTCGCCGAGGCAGGTGAGTTGCCCAAACCGGGTGGCTAAGAATTGGCCTTGTCCAATCCCTCTCTGGGCATGCAGATCCCTCTCTTCCTGTGAGCCAGAGCTTCCTGCTGCCTGCCCAGCCCTGCTGTGTGCCTGTGGCAGGGAACCTCTCTGAGCTGAGAGCTCTGTGGCCAACCCGCCACTCCCCAGTGGGCTCATGTTTAGTTCACAATCCTCTTTCTTCTGAAGGAGGTAGAGTAGCTTTGTGTATTCAATTATATTACTGAGTAGTTGGAAGAACGCATTTTTTTTTTTCAATTGTAATTCAAACACCAACTGTCTGGGCCTGACTACATGCCTCTGGTACATTGTTTCCCTGGACTTGTTTGAAAAACTAAAGCAGTTTTTCACTGTTTATCTGTTAATAGTGCTTTCTCCAACAGCAAGGGAGCACTTGCAATGGAAAGCTGCAGCTTTTACATGAGTGAAAAGGAACTTGATATAGTGTGCAACTTGCAGGATGCTCATTCGGGTCAACCAGGGCTTTATTCTTCTGTGAATATCAGCAAGCTGTACAGATAGGATGTAAAGAGGGACGCGGTGGGATACAAGTCAAATTTCCAGCATTAGGCTATACCGGAAAAATGAGGAGGAAGCTTTGTAGTAGGTGAATCAAACCCTAACAGCGAGTGAGTAGGGCTCTGATCCCTCTTGTGTGTTTGGGTTCTGCTGATGAGCAGGGAATGAGTGCTCTTGAGTTTGAGACAGGATGCCCACAGGTATATAATAGACCTCTTCTTTCTCCCGCACTATCCTCTTTTTTGCTCTACGGGACTGCAAAAGCACAAAGCCTGTTCCTGGGAGGTCTAACATCAAATAGCTCACAGCTAAAACGTTGGGACCTCCTTGTGTCAAAGCTTCACTATTTCCTATTGAGTTCATTTAGTCCCCCTTAAACCAGTGTGTTTACTTGTATGTGATAGCTACTCAAAGCAGGGCTTGGCCTGTTCCGTGCATGTGCCTTTGCTACAGCTCCCAAGGGGATACCCTACTCATTCCTTTCCCCGGCAGTGCTTGTAGAAACTACCTGTTGTGTGGGAGGAAGCTATGGCATCAGAGCTGCCAGGGGAGCCCACTACCTGCTCCCTCATGGAGCCGACCCACTGGGAGCTCCTCAACCTGCTGGACACAGTGGGGCAGCGGAATGGTCGGCTGCTGGTGATGGAGATGGATGATGCCCACGAGAGATCCCCCTTGGTGCTGATGGATTTTGCCCAGGATCTGTTTGGTGCGGTTGACCTCAAGGCTAAACTCCAGCAGAAAGAGATGACTGAGGAGGAACAGGAGCCAGAGCCACAGCCACAGCCACAGCTGGCTTTCATGCTGTGGCAAGCTACCACTCTAAAGCAGCTCATGCAGTGGGATCACCTGGATGAAACTCTCTGGAATTTAAGGAGCCTCTTCCCCAGCATGCCAGCGGTGCTGGTGCTGGTGATGGTCCAGCCAGACCCACAGAGGCAGCCAGAACAGACGGCGGAAGCGCTGAGGAGGATGCAGTGTCTGCTGGATGGGGCTTTCCAGGAGCTTGTGGTAGAGGCAGCAGTTTACAGCCCAGGCCAGCCTGATGGTATCCTGGAGGTCAAGAGAGCTGCGTGCAGAGCGCTGAGAGAAGTCTTAAAAGGCCGTGAAGGTATCCTGGGGCATAGCTAAGCACAGAGGCAAAGGACAAGGGAGACAAGCTTTTTGGAAAAAAGTAACAGATGCTTAAACTGAGGCATGGAAGGGCTTGAGGGGCGGCGTAGACCAAATTAATACTTGGTGACAGGGTTGAAGGGGAAGGAAGCCAGGAAGCTGAGCAGGCCCTTGCTGGCAACATGAGCTAGAAGTGAGAACAAGGGCTTGAAGGGCTTGAAGTGCTGGGCTGGGGGTGGAGGACATGAGTCAGAGGCAACTGTGTCTTCTTCTAAGCTGGAATGTGGTGGCTCTTGCTCCTTGCCACAAAACGCACATGGCTAAGGAGATGCTGTTCAATGTGAGAGCTGCAGCTTTGACTCCACCACTGAGACTCTCCGTGATTATGTTAATGGCTGCACGGTCCTACAGACTGTGCATTCTTCACGAGGGAGGCATAGACCAGTTTTGGGGGATGAGCCACAGGCCAAAGCTATGGCTGGTGTGATGCACGCTGTACTTCTGTCATGTGCGTTTCCTCCCCTAGAAATCACCTCCCAGGATCCATTTACCATTTGGCTCAGCTTGACTACATGCGACACAAGATACCAAAGACAATTTGAGGATGGGCTCTCTTAGGCAGCAGGATCCAGCAGGTGGGGATTAGTTCTGTTTGCCTAAATGCCCCTTCGTAGAAATGTTTCCCTGATACTGCCTTGCTTATTTGCCTAGTCCTTCTGCACAGAAATAGTTCAGTATATCCCAGAGCATTCAAACAGGTCTGCCCGGGAGATCCTCTATGTAGATAAGCGTTTCTAAACTTGGAGGAATAGATGCCCTCGATGCCCCCTCTGCCCTGCCTTCAGAACTATACTGAGCTGTGAGAACAGGAATGCGGGGAGGGGGATGTAACTGGGCTTAAAAACTTTGAGAATGATGCTGCAGAAAACCCAAGGAAGGGCAGACAGACAGATCCTAAGCACCCCTGCACACGTTCAGTCTGCGGCGGAGGGCAGCCCCTTACTTCGGGACACCGCAGCAAGGCAGGATCCTGACCACATCTCAGCAGCCTGCTGCCAGAAGGGGACACTGCTCCCACAGCTTAATGCTGCCCTTGCTCCAAAGCTCAGATTTCTCTGCTGCATCATTTTGACAATCTATTTGGAAAACTTCTGTCAAAACTCACTGCAATCTCTTGAGTTTCCACTTTGCATGACATGAGATATTCCAGCAAGGCAATGTTCTCTATAATCCTGCTGAGCTGGTTCAGCTGTGAACAGGGAGGGAGACAGAACGGGGCCACCTGCCTCTGGATTTTAGACTATCTCAAACTGGGATAGTAAAAGAAATCATAAGGTAAGATCGAGGCCTATGTCTTTCCAACAGAGAGCCTGGATGCAGGGGTCCCTGGTACATAGTTCCCATCAGCACAGAGCTCCTGAAATTCCCTGGGGTTGTTTGCAGTCACACCCCCGGATAGTGGGAGAGCAAAGTTTGTGGCCTGCACTCACCCATTGGCCAGGATGCCACAAACAAGATAAAGGCCCCTTTCCTGTTGTGTTGCTGTTTGCCTTTAGTGCATTGGTCTTTCCCAGGCTACTGACTGCACACTGGGATAGTTGAAGGGTCAAGGTTGCTGTCTAAACTCGTTCTGCTATGTTGGTCCATGGGATCCTCCTGCCCATCAGCCCCACTGGAAAGGTTTGGGGATGGTTGTGTGCATGGCGTGCTCTACAAGTCAGCGTTTCACGGGCAGCCTCTCTGGGTGTGCCTGGTAGCTCGGTGAGGTGCATTTGGCCATACAAGATCTTGCAGTGATTAATGCTGTGTGTTTGTGCTTGCTGCCTGAGCAGGCTGTGAACGCCCCTTCAATACGCTGGGTTTTCACCCAAACTTGCTGCGTCTTCACCCAAACTCCGCTGAAATCTGTAGATCAGGATCTGAGAGCTGCCTTACCTAGGTATCAGCGTAGCAGTTCTGGAAGGAAGGACTGAGTGGCGTGGGCTGAATGTGCAGCATGCATGGGACTGAGAATCAGCTGGAGCGAGGGTGAATGTGCAGCATGCATGGGACTGAGAATCAGCTGGAGCGAGGGACAGACCGTCCTGATACCTACCTGAGTGCAGGCTGATATTGCTAAGCCCTTCTATAACAGGAAATAAAGCAGCATCCTTTCAGAACTAGAGATACAGCAAGTAAAATAATACTTTCATATTCAATCCTCCTCACTCCTGGGCCAAAAAAAAAAAAAAAAAGACAGGAAAACCAGTCAACTGTCCATTTACGGAGATTTTTGCAGGGAACTGACCTTACCTACAAGTTGGTTCAAGTTGACATCCAGAAGGTTAAACTGTCGGGAATGGGTTACTTTGGATGGGAGGCAGTGTGGGAGCAGTAGGTAGTTTTTGTGTGCCTAACAA